CGCGCGTTCTCCTGACGATTCTCACATGGCGCCGCGACCCGTGCGTTCTTTTTTTTCGTCGACTTTATTCCGCGACAGTCCTGCAGCTACTGAGGCAGCCTCCAATCTCTGGAGGCCTCTGGGCCTCCAATTCGCCGCCTCTCTGCCGCTCAGACTCTCAGTCTCCTGTGCAGCGGAGGCGCATGCGCGGTTTGGAGTCCACTCCGCTCTTGGCTCTCTTCCCACCCGTACCCCCGCTCTCCCACCGATGCTTGGCGGGTTTTGTTTTGATTCCGTTTCGTGGGAGTGGATTTGGGTGCGGGAATTGGGGTTGGCCTAGAGGAGTCGATGGGTTACCACCCTACGTCGCTGGAGCCATGTTGATTCTCGTCCGTCGTGGGAAATTAAAATTCTTTCCATCTGCCTCCCAACTCGAATACAAGATTTTAATTGCCGCTTCCCGCGAGGGGCAGTGCACCAGAAATAGTAACAGCCACCGCAGCAGTAGGAGTTGGAGTAAGAGTAGGAGTAGGAGTAGGAGCTGGATCGGGAGCAGGTACTGGTAGACCTTCGCACACCACTGCAACCAACTGTTGCCCCACCCCCATGGAGCTGATGAGCGGCTCAGTGGACAGACCTGCTTGAATGTGTTCTGATTGCATTACCGAAGCTTTCCAGCTACGGATAGCGAAACATAATGTATACTGAAGAACATATTAAATGGAGAGCATGTGTATTCCCCTGGAATCCAACTGTGCAAAGATTGCTCTTTATGGTTCGATGGATAGATTGAGTTGATGGATTAATTGGAATTTTCGACACATTTTCTTTGAAGTAAATGGCTCCCAAACATCATCTTGCGGTTCCCACCACAACAAGTCCCTGACACCCTGACAATGCTATAAAATTCATAATCGACTTAATTCTGAAGAAATTCGAATATATGAACTCGAGTACACGGTCAATTTGGTTACTGTGCACGCTGCGGATTAAAAGCTTAAGGACGGGAAGGGAATCTCCGAATATTTATTCGGAAATATGACGCAGATTACTCCATTGGCCTTTTGAGTTCTGTATTTTTTGAGCTTTAAATTGTGTACTACATGTGTAAGTGGCACCTTCTATGGCGGTCATGCCACCTATGTTAACATGGGGTATGTGTATGTCCAGGCTTTTTATTGATGGGGTAATCAAAAAGTGGAAAATAATATCGAGTTTTTGCTCCAGATAAAAGTGGCATCGGAATTTGTTTGAGAGCAGAGCTCTCCCTACCATTCGTATCAGAACTTTTATCTGCAGTCCGACAAAAACAATAACAAATTGCTTGATACTGTGGAAAACAAACAGGAGTCCCAAAATTTATGCACTAAATAAGTGAATTCAGGCAGCATCAAGATAGAGCTTAAAACATTTGTCGGGAGCACGCAGTATCGGGCATGGAAATCTAGACAGAATGAGCTCTACTGTAGCCCGCACAGTGGGCACTCCCGCCACCCCGCCACCCCGCCACCCAGCCACCCAGCCAGAGGCACGGCCACTATTTTGTTGGCTCCGAACGGGGGGGCGCACCTGCGGCGATGTTCCATTTGGGACACAGAGGTACTTGTACTCGCGGAACGAGACCCAAACCCAGCTGGAAATGTCTTGAGCAGGTTTCTGACTTGACTTTTTACACGTGCCACGCCATGAAGGGTATAAATCTTGTGAGTATTCGGTCGAGGAATCGGCTGTGATGGCATGCATTTTGAAGCTATACAGAACTCTGATTTGGTTTGACTTTGGACACCATATCTTCACTGCGATGGCAGGTATCATATAGTCGGAAGGTTGGAAAATACTTTCATATCAATTTTTACCTTTTTGTGCTGCCATTCGGTTGCTGTTGTATTTTTTTTTAGCAGTCTTCCCCCCGTCCCACCCATTCGAAATCCCTGGGAGTACTCTTGTTGCCACCGACATCCCCCCCCCTTCATTTACATTTGTTTCATCCTATTATCCCGGTTAACCGTACCGCGTTCCCACAACTGTATGGCCACCAGCATCCGTGCCCGCACCAGCACCCGTATGGCTATGGCCCCCCACCCGTGCCATTTGTCAAGTTCTGCTAGCGACTTCGGCCCGCGGCTTTTTGTAATTACACAGCCATGGAGGCCGGGTAAATGAAAGCGGCTTAAAAAAGCAGAGCGCTGGGGTTTGCGGTGCTCGTTAAAATTTGTTGCTCTCTCTCTCGCGTCCCGATTGTTGTTGGTTCTCGGATGGTTGTTGGCGCCGCTGTTGCCGATTTAGTGCAATGGCAGAACGGCGCTGGATGGAAGGTATTTCGATGGGAAATGCCAAGCGGATTGAAACAGAGCCGCCACACAGACTCGACACAGAAAGCGTCGCCCGGCCGTGATTCATGATCCATACCCTTTCGGATGCGCACTTTAATGCTTATTCAGTTTTCCCAACAATTAAGTGTTTTAATCATCGACTAGCTCCTATCGCAATAGCTATGGGTTGGGGGCGAAGCTGGATGTATGCCTCTATCATACGGTTGATTTACTACCCAAACAGCTGTGAAATATCATGGCCGGACCCCGTAGCTAACCGAACGGAAATAGGTCTAGAATATGCATACATACATATGTATGTATGTTAATATCGTATACGTATACAGATCACTTTAAAGTTGGGGCTTAAAGAAAAATACTGGTATTCTGGCAGCTGGTTTTGATTCGATTATAATTATTTTGAATGAACGGAAAGGCATGCTGAAGTACAGTACAGTATTTTTGCTCTTCTTGCTTTTTGTTTCCAATCTTTCCACAGAACAAAACGAGCACCGTAATCGCTAGTTTATCCTCACTCCGGCGGACAGCTTGTTTACACCCATATTTATCAATGCTGTCCGCAATGCGGAATCGACTGGGGTCTGGGGATGGGACGGGGATGGGGCTAAAAGTTTTGAGCAACTCTTGTGGATAAATCAACTGGCATTAGGACTGGCTGCTGCAACAAGATAAATAAATTAACTCGTTCAAGTCGGCTGACAGATGGACTTAGTGGGCATCATGGGCATCATGGGATGGCAGACGGAGTAGAGTCCTTCCCGCCCCCTGAAACAAGTCGCCAAAAACGCATGAATCCTGGCTAATTTATGGCTAATTATGACATCTTCTCGTCGAGCCACAATAAGCACCATATGCCGCGTGCTAGGCAGGTAGGTATGCGGCTGCCAATTGTCTGGCATCTTTCTTGGCGGCTCCTCCTCGTGTACACCCAGCGCGACAGAGCGAGCCGGACAGTGCTCGGGCTTGCCCCATGAATGGCTCGTTAATGAAGTGCCCTGTTACGAGCAGCTTACCAACGTAATACATTTTTATGATCGCAAACGGAATTATAACTGCCGGCCATGTGGATGTCCACAATGCGTTCTAGCTGGGTCACGAGCTATCAGGTCCTGCACCCCTCACCGACCGACACTACCCCATTCATTTTCCTTCACACCAGGCACAGCCATGCACCGCTTCAGTCACATAACGATTCGTTCGACCTTCCCGCTGGGGCAATTGCGTAGACAAACATCATTGGCATTTCGGTTTGAAGTTTCTGAGTGCCAATTAACTGGGAACCAGTCCCGTTCTCCCCACCTGAACGGATGGCGAACGCAGCCAGAGAGTGGTCCTCTGACCCTCTCGATTGGCTACTGTGACCCATACACAGTGGATATGCTCTGACACGAACTATATCTACATATGTATATCTATCTATATAGAATCCTAAAACTGTAGCAGCAATTTTTTGTTTGGGCTAAGAGTTCCTAAATCAAATTTAATTATTCAGATTTGAAGATTTATCTCTCTTAAGATTTATGATTAAGAAGATACTTTTTATAATTGTATAATTTTGTAGCTTCTATGGACTCTCAGCAGCTTCATTGGCCTGCGTTGAGTCCTGCCGTCCTGACTCTTGGAAAGACAGCGATAGCATCGTAAACTTGGTCATCAACACGTAGCCCCATTCGGGATACTTCAACCACACACAACAACTCGTCAAGGACCCCAAACGACGAGGCAGCCACGTGCCGTAAAGCTCCCCTACCGCCCGCCAACCCTCCCGCCTGCCAACAAGGGAGGAGGCGTCGCTCGGCGAGCTTTTAAATTAAATCACAAAATGGGGATAGAGCGACTTGGGCAGCAGCCCACGCAGCCCGCTAAACCAGATAAATAAACCCTTTGGCCGCAGTCCTTGGGGTCTTGCGGGCACAAGGAAGAGACCTGCTCCTTAGCACAGGACAGGAGCTGTGAGGACAGGAAGTCAGTTTGAAAGCCAGCGATGGCAGCCTCGTGTGGCGCTTGCCAATTCGGTGGCCGGTCTCGGGCTCCAAAAGGGATAATGGCATGAAATCCAGCTGAATGAAAAGAAAGCGGCAAATCATGTTAAGAGATTTAAATTGGATTAGTTGTCATGTGAGTGGGTCTGTGTGCTGTGAGGGGCTGCGTGGTTACGGGTGTCAGTGTCAGCCTGCGCCGACGATGGCTGTGAAGCCATCTCCACCTCGAAGTCCTGCCAGGGGCCCGCCACTCGCTCATCTTGACATCAATTTTGTCACTTGATTCCACCTCCTTTTGCATTTGTTTTTTTTGTGCCGTGCCTGGCCCCTTCCTTTATTTATTCTGCATGCTTGACACAATTCCTCGTCGAGAGCTTACGGCTCGAGTGTCTGTTTCTCCGGCCCTCGATGCCATTCACTCTATCTGCTCTTTCGCAGTCCCCCAGCCCCAGAGCCAGCCAGAGCCCCAGTATCTGCATTTGACAAGTCTCTCTCTCTCCTCCCCACACGAGGCGAGGGTCATCTTCCAGCGAAAGTACCTTCCATCACTGTTCATTTTCCTTGGCTCGTCCATGAGTGACACACAAGGAAAAGACGTCAGCTACGGAGCGCTCAACATCTAATAAAAATATCACGCTAAGGAATGATTGCTTATAGTAATGCAAATGATTTATGGCCACAGAGAAAGTACACGTTACGTGGCATATATATTCAGGATTTAATTTTCTTTCCAACATGAAACAATCATGAAACATCATGAGGTCCTCATGGATACCAAGCGTTTTATCTTAGTAATCAACAAGTCGGTTACGAAATAATTTAATTTAAAAAGTGCAGAACATTTACGGATGCAGGTCCTGATCCGATTGTCCCTTCGCCTAGGCTTCGGGGCTCTCGAGTGATGGCTTTTTCCGGTACTTCACCTTGGAGGTGTATATATCGTAGCCAAGGCTCATAGAGTTGTCGTAGAAGACACGATAGCGGGGCTTGATGAGGAAGAAGTTGATGAACTGGGCGGCCGGCCAAACGGTCCACTCGGCCATGTAAAGGACGACTGCCTTCTCCATGACCTCCGCTTGGAACTCCTCCCAGCTCTGGCGCTCCAGCAATCCCATGGTTATGAAGAAGACGGTGATGTAGAACGGCGAACAGATGACCTGGTCCAGCAGTATCTTGCGCATCACAGTCCCAATGCTGCGTGTCGGATACCGATAGTCCAGATACTGGTACCAAAAGTGACACACAAAGCCCACCGTGAAGCCGCCAATGCCCATGCGGAAAGTGCGCATCCTGTTCCAACCATCGATCTCCCCCACATAGCGTTCGTACGACTGCTCAATGGTGTCGCCCACCATGCTGAGGCTGATCGAAATGCCGAGGTTTGTGTAGAGCAGGTACCTCTTGCTAAAGGCGATGCTGTGACAACGATTCAAACTCTGCACCACCCTCCTCCACTGGGTCCGAGAGAACATTTACCCTACTTGTTGGCGGTCCTGCTAGACATCGACCCGAGCTTCACAGAAACGAACAATAATGTGGCAGCCTGAGATGGGCCTACTGTGTCTGAATATTTATCACTTCGTAAATAAATTCTTCCTGACTTAAATGAAAAACTTAATTGAATTCTTCCAGTCTCTTGATCCCTGAGCCCTACCCCAAGGCGTAGGCCAATAGCATAATGGTCTGATCCATACTCCTTATTATAGAAGTTGAGTTTTTTGTTCAGAGGTAGAACCGAATGAGTTTGTTTATCAGATTTTGTCCCTAGGGCACCTTGCGAGCTCCTGTATGCACTCGCCTAGAAGAGGGTACTCCTCCAAATGATGGAATGGCCATATTATCTAGAACTTGAACCGTTAAGCATTGACAAAGTTAGATAGAGATACACATGGTCCCACTGCTGGGAATTCCTACGTTTGGTGGACACATCGGGAGGCCCTGGAATCTGCTGCTTCAGTGTACGCCGTGTTCAGTCGTGTCCAAGCTCACGCTTCCTATGGGTATGTCTAAGCTTTTCTGTTCTCTCCCTCTCATATTGATCCAGATACTCAGCGAAACTTAAGGCAGGTGCTAAGCCCAATTCAAGGCTGGAAGGAAGTCAAAAGTCCAATCAAAATTCCAATGTAAATGCTGCAATTCCCATTAAAGTAAAACTCAAAACTGTGTGTTTCGAAAAGGAATCGGAAAGGTGTTGCAGGATTAGGGCGAGTCCTCATTTAGGTCGGAAAACAAAGAACAAACAGGCAATGAAATCAATTTGGCGTCAGAAACTGGAAATGAGTTTTGGGAGGGGATTTGCTGAGGTTCCATCCGGAATCCCACGCACAAAGCCGCGAACACACAAGCACAAAGCGCCCTGGGCGAGGGATAGGGCTCGGGATAGCCACTGCCGTTGAAAGGATCAAAAAGGGTTGCGCATAAAAATCGCTTCGCTCGGCATTCAAATGAGGATGCTCCTCCACACATTTGTTGCTCTGCAAACCCATGCCTTGGGTTCGAGGCCTCCAGCGCCCGGCTGGGTGTCGGGGAGTTAATGCTGCCAAATCATTCGCACGCGATTCCAAACCGCAGACCGAACCCTTCCCCGTAGGGAAATCAATGTGTGTGTATGCATATGGAGGCGGGTCCTGGTCCCCCACTATCCCTTTCCCCCTTTCCCCGTTCCCCTGTCCCAACCTTCACGCACTGGGCTATGAATTGAAAAATATTTACGGCTTTCGACATTCTGCGCTAAAATCCAATTTTATTTTTATATTTTGTCGAAAATCCGCCATAAAACGAGGCTACGCCACAGTGACACCCTCGCCCATGGCCCATCGCCCGTTTCCGGACTCTGGAGGCCGCCGTCTCCCCCGGCCCCCGGTTGTCAATTCAAAAGCGGGAACCGTAAATTCGGCTTTGCATCTTGTTTGCTGCCTGTATCCTGGCTCCCCTGTATCAACTCTGCTCTGGCTCTGACAGGAGGTTAGAATGCCATGCCACCGCCACGGGCAGGGGAAGGGACAGGGACAGGGACAGGGGCATCTGTTTCATTAGCTCGGCCTGCGCTCGACAGATGAATCTACCGCCGAATCTACGGCCCCATTGTCATGCGATGCATTACGAGTATTTACCAGCATTAAATATTCGGATTCTAGAATGCAAATGCGGGCAATATTCGAGTGTCATAGAAACATAGAAGCCCAGCACTGAGATCATCCAATAGCGAAATGGAAAACACGAAAAACAACTTTAATTTGGGCTGATTCTCGTAATAAATTAAATGCTTTGTCTGTCTATCTACATATGTATGTATTGTACATTATAAATTATTGAAGGAAAACACTGGGGAAAATTGGGACAATTGTCCTGTTTCGAATTAATTATAATTAATAATTATTAGGGCTGCTCATAGAATATTTAGGGGACATTCATTAAGGTAATATAATGATAATGCCCCTCAAAACATTATTCTTCATCTATACGGGTTGTATTTAATGGATATTTCTTGCTGAAGATGCTAAGATTCAGATGGATGAATTCAGATATCCAACGAGGCATACAGAATATTCAAAAATTTCCTTTTTTTAATCTCTCATAAGATATTCATAGCAACCAGGTCTCATCACGTTGTGGACTGTTGAACTTCAAGACCTTTCCTTTCAAAAAAAAGGTTCCCGCCATTGAATGTTGACTCGGTCTGCTTCGGAACCTCCATCAAAGAGCCCTCTAGGCCTAATTCTTTGTGCAAATGAAATGTTGTTTACAAGAGTTTTCTATTTACATACTCGCACTCCCCTCCTCTCCGCTCCACGCTACTCCTCCTGGTCCTCATTCACGTCCACGTCCACATCCACGTCCACATCCAACTCCCCAAGGAACAGCACTCGGCACACAGGAGAGATATACTGTGTCGCCTGTCCTGCGGCAGGACACACAACTACAAGTACGGGAGTACGGCGCTGGATGCTCGCCAGTGCCATAGAGCGTGACGGCAGAGACCCGCCGAAAAGGGAATGAAAAGGGGAGTGCATTTTCATAGTTTTTCCCACTTTGTTATGCTGATTTTTCACATTTTTCGTTTCCTATCCGTTTTGTCTGCTCTGTCCACTCGGGGGTTTTTTTTTTTGTCCTGTCTCGTTCGTTCCGCTCTCAATTTTTTCCTGGCACTGGATCCAAATAGATGTGGGTCTAGGCTTTCGGACTAGGGACTGTGTTCGTGCCAGGGTTTTTGGATGGGTTGTGATGTGTTATGGTCTGTAGCTGGGTATGGAGCATGTGTGCATTTTAATTGAATTTTTCATTTCGCTCAATGAAAGCAAAAGCCGAATATGCAGCCAGCCAGCCGCAAAAAGTGTCATAATCCCCTCCTGGCCGCTCCTGAAACCAGCGGTCATGGAAAAGCACAACTCACGGACTCGTGGACTCATGGACTCGTGGACTCATGGACTCGTGGAAGCCAGCGGATAGGAGGAGTTCATTGGATTGGTTCTATTACTTGAACACAGATCAGCGTTCCGCCTAATATATTTTGCAAATCACTCCCTAATTGATTTTGAATCGATTTTGAATGACATTTTAGTTCATGTTCGGCTCGTGGCTTTATTTTCCAGCGGTTGGTTGCTCTCGACTTCTGTTTATGCAAATTAAATCAAAATGTGATTTTAATGGGATTTCCAACACGGTAAGCAACGAATGAGGACACGAGATGCTGGTTGCAATGATGGCCAATGGTGTGGCAGTCGAAAAGTTTCGTTTAGTTTGTTCAGTGTGAAACAAATCTGTGGTTCGGAAGTATTGAATCGTTGCAGGAGCGGCCTCTATTTGGTCCAGCGATGGGAGATTGTCCACAGACTCAAATCCATTCCGGAAAACCAAACTTATTTAATTAGTGGAAGGGAAACTCTGAAATCTGGGGCTGCCATCCGCCTCTGCTTGCATGCGATAGGAGGGCTCAAAACATGAACTCTTTTCTAAGGATATAGAAGCAGAGGTTCACACAAGATAAAATACCATAAATTATTTCATAAAATAGCACAAACCGTATAAAATTACAAATATTTGGAAAAAAGGGGTTCTATTTTGTGTTGGTCCTTTATTTTCATGCGACAGTCCATGTACGCACATATGTACATTTTAGCAAATTCAGCATGTTTCATTTTCAAATCTCTGTGGTGTGCTCTCTGTTTACGTAAATGCGATATTTGCCAACAATCAATTTGCATATAAATAATAAATTATGCATACAATCACACATATGTACATATGTGGCATTTTTGCATGGGAATAGCGAACATTATTTAATTTCAAGCTTTTCGTCATACGAGTAGAAGCGATATTTATTAAGGTAATTAAACGGCAAGGGACCATAATTATAATTAAGTATAAACTTAAAGAATCAAGGTCATAAATTGTTATGGTAAAGCGATTATCGTAGCTAAAGTTCTGACTGAGATTACAAATTTCAAATCAATCATTCTATGATCTACTATGGAATATCCGCTTGAAGGGCATTATCCATGAATTACCCGAAGAAAGAACACTTTTAAAGGAATAACTATCTTTCAGGTTATCTTCCAGTCGAGACAAACTTTCTTATGGGTCACTAATGGAATTCGCAAATGTGATCTGCAAATGTCAAAGGTCAATTGACTCGACTTCTGCAGTCAACACCGGCCCGATGTGGATGTGGCTCAACTCCAGGCACATTTGAATAGCGCCGGAGGGAAAAGTAAGTCAGTTACGTTAACGGGAAGCGTAACGAGCAAATAGTCAATATGGCGGCGGCATTGCCAGTCGTGCCAATTTCGTTTGAGCAAACAAACAACACGAGCAGCCACGCCACCCTGTCAGCATGTGTTAACCCGGCCACCACCCTGGTAACCCTGTCAGCCCTGCCCAAACAGTGCTCCACTTGGCTCCCCTCTTCCGCTGGCTACCTGGACGATACGATGCAAAGAGACAAAAGAGCAACAAAGTGCCAGTGAGAGATCTGGCAGGCGGCTGATGGTAAAGCGGACAGGTGGACAGGTACAGGACTGTCGCAGGTGGGACACCTGATTATCGGGGGTTGGACTGGAGGACTGGAGAACAGGAGGACGAGAGGTGGCTCTTTATGAGGCGCAAAATGTCATACATCATGCGACAGTGCCGGCAGGTTGTACCGTGTTTCAGCACGTTCGCTGTCGTCGGGTTCGGAGAAACGTCACCATCATCCATCCACAAGGCGGAACGAGATTGGGTTGGGGTTAGGTCGAGATTGGGTTGCAGCGGAGCGGAGCGGTGGAACGCCAGGCATGCAGAAAACAACGTCAACAGCGCGGATTTGTAACAGAGACGGAACTGCTAACGCCTGATACGAAAAACGAGTGCTCTTTGATAGGGGTTCTCCGCATCATCATTCTATCCCATCCCATAATCCACATCCACTTCTCCCTCCTCATCATTATCATCATCTTCATGTTGTGCTGGAACGAAGTGAACTGCTGGCTGTTGGCCTGGGATGGGGACAGGGACAGGGACAGCGACAAGGAGAGAAGTACCTTCTCGAGATAGGCATTCGCGCCGAGCTAAGTGGCACACGAAGCGCTAAACTATTAAGCACATGCTGCCACACTGCCACAAGGAGCCGTTGCCATTGCCGTTGCACGACAGTCCCTAGATCCCCACTTTCTGCCAGTCATGATTGCTGGGGTAAATGATACACGAGGGGGAGCCCGAGCCCGTGCCCGAGCTCGCCCAGGAAGTGCTCTCCTCTGTTCGTCTGGCTCTAGATAAATCATGCACACAATCCTGTTGTCCGGGGCTGTGGGCTACGCCCCAGGTCTGTCTCAGGTCTGTGAGATTACGACATACATTTTGGGCCGCCAGCACGTTCGGATATTTCATTTTGTCAAAGCGAGCACCTTCTCCCTTCGAGAGTTGTGCAAGTGACAGATTATTGGGTACAAATGGAAGATGATGTGTATGGGCTTCCCTTTGCAATCCAATGGCTAAAGTTCTGAATACAAAAAGTAATTAAATCAATTAAAAACAGCCCAGAATGCAGTGTTCTACAGAGATTTCAAATCGAAAAGGAAGTCCATAAATTTCTACGAAATTGATTAATTATCCTGAAAATTTTCTGTGGGCGTAATATCGCACAGCACGTGTCCTTCGCATTAGCTCTGTGAAAAGAGGATGATGGCTGACTGGTGGCTGCTAAACTCGAATGTTTAAGCCATCACAAGAAGCCAAATTAGTAACATACACTACTACCTCCTCTCTCTCATGCACTGCCTCTGGATGAATAACTTTTGAAAGGCCCTGTGTGCAGGGGAGGAAGGCAGTGGGAGGGATGGGCGCCGTAATTAGAATAATTTTGCGCTGCGTTGCGCTTGGCAGCATTGCAAATGCAGCGCCATCTGTCGGAAGGTGGCTGCCAGGAGGCCCAGGACACAAAACAAACATCGCACGAGTGTGGGGTGTGTGGGGGCCACGTGGCACATGGACCTGGTCTGCACTGCCGTGCATGACAAGCAGGTGCCAAGAGGAAAGGTCACCGAACCCAGCTGAGGAGGAGAGACTGTGTGTGTGCGAGCGTGAGGGGGAGGGGCGGCAGTGTCACGGCGTAATCATGGTAAAAGCAGGGCGCAAACACACACACACAAACACTCCCGGACGGACACATAGGACACACGGAGAGCAGAGGCTTGGCTTTAAATTACAAAAATTTAATTAATTTCGCAGAGATTTTTCATTGGTCGCCGACGCGCACTTGACTTTGTGCCTTCGGATTTGCTCCTTTGCCGCTTGCTCTTTCCTCTGCCACTTTCCACTAATTTCCCCATCATCTGCGGTTGACTCGTTTTTATTGGAATCAGGCACAAGCCAGCCCTGAGCCTGCCGTATGTGCAGCTTCGCGGGGCTCCATTTTATTTTAATTAATTCCAATGGGCGTGTGGCAGCTGCGTCTGTCACTCGCTGGAGTCGAGGTGGCTGGAGTCGAGGAGTAGCCGAAATGATTATGAGTAATTAGTTTTAATGCGCTCCCAGCCGTCCTGGCTGTCCTGGCAACAGCCGGCTTTCTCTGTCCCTACCACACCTGAAGGCTGTCACGCCAGTGCCAGGTTCGAGGACTCGCCCTCTGGGCCCCCATTTGCCAGGTAAGCTCTGGCGTCCTTGCCAACAGCCACCTGTGCTGTTTCCTGGTACTATTTATGTTACTTTGCTACGAGCTTAATATTGCATTTATAAATCAGAGTGCCATATTTTCCTTTTGTGGCCAGCCATATAGGCTATTTTACTAATGACTAAATCCCCCTTTTCTTCGTCCTTTGATGGTGCATTTTCCATATAGACAGGGGATTATTGCCAAAAAGCTACAAATTGATGCTCGCCCGAATAGTAAATGAAGAAATTTCCAATTTCGACTGGTGTTTCCCGTCCAGACAGCCTTGCTGGCCGAACAGATGGGCACTGCTTGGCCCAGAGGGGGGCTTTCACCTGACCTATGACTATATGAGGTTACAGTTCTTCTACTAGTTATGCAATAGATTTGAAATCTTCTATTTGGAAATGCACTGCCATGAAAACTACTGACTAATATTAGATTGGAGAAGGAAGAAAATGGCAGGTGCATTTCGGTTATGCAGAAATGCATCTTTACAGCTGCATGATTTTGTATCAAATAGATCAATTTATTGTGTACTTTCTTGTAAGATGATTGACTCTGTGTGTGCGTGTGTGAGAGGCCAACCACCAACAGCTTTGAAATGAATCAAATGCAACGGACATCTGCTTGGCTCTTGGCGCATTTGCTTGATTAAATGGGCTTATAATATTCTCATAGCTGTGATTGCTTTAATATGCATCAAAGGACTACAAAATATATGATTAAATACATATATCAGCAGGATAGGATAAATCACTAAAGAGGGTTTGCGACATTACCAAATAAAATTGTACTTCACATAAACACAAGCAATTTTTAAATTTTCAGAAAAATGTAATAACAATTGTTGGTACAAGCTGTTGATATTCTTTTTGTTTGGTTTGGCAGCAAATAAATGGCACAAGAAATAATTAACATTTCACTGATTGAACCTACAAAAAAAACCCATTGCATCAATGAATAAATGATTAAAAACTTAAATTTGAGAACGAAAAACTGACAGCTGTGGATGCAAAAGTCCAGGAAAATTGCATCGAAGCTTCAGATTTGATTAAATTTAAGCAGTTCCGATCCAGCACGAAGGCTTACCGGCCAAAAGCCAAAAACAAAGTCATAAATCAAATCCAATCATAAACGGGATTGGTGTCCCTTGTTTTCCTTTTGATCGCTTTCGCAAATAGAAAAGTGTCAACAAAATATTTACAGGGATTAAAGAAGCTTCCGTGGAACATGGGAAAAAACCTCACACGAATATGCTGGAGGATGCTGGAGGACGGGTTGCAGTCAAATCAAAGCAGGAGAATCAGGAGCATCGGAGGTAGGTGGAGTGTGCAGCAAGCCAATGTGGAACGCTTATAAGCATGCAGGAAAAATGGAAAAATTGCGGAAACAGAGACCGAAAGTCGGAGATGGGTGGAGGTGGTGGGGGGTGGGGGAGAACTTTTCTGGAACGAGCACAATACAAAATTTAATGGAGCGCAAATTTTGATTGTTTTACTTTGAGGATGGAAGTTGTTTCGTTTCCCTTCGTTTTTGTTTCGTTCTCGTTCTCGTTTTTCTTTCCATTCTGTTTGCTCTTCGCTATTTATTTATTTCGCAGCGCTTTGAATTCGCTTTCCCGCATTTTATGCATATTTCAGATCCAAATATTTTCCCCCGCTATTTGCTTTGACTGGTCCCCATGAGTATTTGTTTAGCTGCGGGCTCTCATCTACTCTAAATTCATCTACTACGAGTGTGAGTACGAGTATTCATTCGGTATTCACAGAGCCTGGACCTGACGGTGCTGCCCCCAGGTGCTTTTTGTTTCTGAGTGGATAGGGAACGTCCATTGAAAAGGCAACGGAAAAAAAGTTGTTGTCAATGTAATTTGATTCCCTTTCCACTATGATTGCGTATACGCTCCGTTGGGCAGAAAGCAGATTGTAATTAGACTTCCCCTTGTCCACTGTCCCTCTTGTGTGGAAGACAATCAGCCGAGTATTCAGGGCATAAGAAAGCACAGACCTGTGGCCCGATTCTCGCGCCAAGAGGGCGCCATGTCATTTGCTGACTATACAGATGGTAAATATCATACGTTTACACTCACTTGAGAGAGTTTTTTGTAGGTGAAAAGATTTGAAACAATGACAACCTCCCATGGACTTAGCACTCACGACTCTACAGATCAACTAGTATTCTCAGTGTTTGGATTTTAGCTCGATTTTCGGTTGATAAAAATGGATGGGTCTAACGATTTGAGAGGAGCAGAGGAGGACATGAGCTCTAATTTAAATTCCTCCGATTTCTGTGCTTCGTGTGTAATTGCCCCGGCGGAATCCTTTAAACCGCACATCAATCACCCCATAGTTGGGCTGGATGGACTGCTCCAGGGTCTGACTCAGATGAAGAAACTAGACCTTATGACCTTTCCAACCATGGATGACGATGTCCCAACGAAGATGGACAAGTCGCTGCTGAAACTGCTAAATGGTTGTAGTCTTGGGATCATCGATGCAACCATTGAAAATCCGTACATACTGCCAGATGTGGAAGTATCGTGGATTCGCCCAAGATGTGAAAATGTTCAGAAAACTAGTTACGGAAAAATCTTCGATGGACTCCTTGGAACTAGATTGGCGGCCTCTTGCTCGCCATTCGCTGCGTCTCTTAATGCAAAGATCTGCCTTTCGACCAGAGTTTTCACATTTATAAAGCAGTTTTCAAATGGTTAGTGGGTCTTACGTCTTCTCAGATGAACTATATCTTTTGCTTTTAGTGAGGAAATGCTGCATAGCCGATTCCAATCAAGAGATTCCGGCCATCATGAATGGAGCGGAAGATATCTTCAGCAAAATGGTAGAGATCGATCCTCCAGCTGAGAACCAGAATAATTCTCTAAAATTTAAAGTTTTCTTGGAAATGTTATTCGCTCGAAATTTCCTGAGACTTAAGCAGGACAGTGCGGATCCAAAGGACATTCAGGTCGCAGATCGCCGACTTTTGAACAAGCCCTTCGTTCAGCTTCGCCTTTTCAAAGATATGACTGCATGGAAAGAAAATGGTATGAACGGTGTAATCCTGTTGATCCTGCTGTTTTTTCATTAGTTGCCTCATTCCCAGACTGGCCACACATCGAGATATGGAAGAAGCAAGGTATGCCAATATACTACATTCTCCTTTGCGACAAGATAACAAACGAACTGATCGTTCAAATACGACTAGCTGGAGATTGGCAAGTCGCCTCCACCGCCAGCAATAAAAGCTGGACACATTTCAATTATGCGGTCTCTCCGGGGGGTATTCTCGAGCGACTGGGCTGCACTTTCTCCAACGCGCGCACTGCCCAAGAGTTCGTGGATGTGACCCAGACTTGTGTGGCCAAGCGTCACTGGTGATGATAGATAGATGATAATGTTTAGTTAGTTAAAATTGGTGTTTATTTTTGTGGAGTTCAGTTTAGGCTTCATTATCCAAATACTAAATCAAAATTTGAATTGATTTCTGATATTGTGCATAGAGTAATTAAATTTTTTGTCAAGTCTCCAAAGGATAGTTTCTCTTGCATTACTACTGATTATCCCGATTATCCTCCCCCGTGGCTGTTGGCAACCGATTGTCGCTTGGCGTTGTTACAACAACTTCATCGATCCAACAAACCAACAAGCCACCAGGCACCAGCCACCAGCCACTCGGCGGTGGCCAGCACAAATATTAAGCGTCGATTTCATAGAGTCAGCCGCCAGAGTAGATGACGCCATGGAATCCGACAAGTTGAACGAGCTTAACAGGCAAATTAATGAGATCAAGAAGAGGATTTTACTGGCCGGTGAGTGGGTGTTCCATGCTTTCACGACTCGCAACTCGATTGCCTCCCGCTTTCAGAGGGCCAGAAGACGGCCAATGCGGCCGAGTGGCAGAAGCAGAATCGCATCAACTGCGACACCATCGGCACTCTGAAGAAGGACCTCAAGGAGCTGACGGTGAAGGCCAGTCGACTGCGAAATCCCCTGCAGCGGCCCATGGTCATCAAGGAGTCCAGCAGTGAGCCGAGGCGAGCCCAGAGCTGCACACCCACACTGATTGTAGGCAAGGCCATGTACCCGGTGGGGGCAAAAAACGCCGACGATGCCATCTTTCTGACCGACCTCAAGATCACCGAGAACCGCAAGCAGATGGACCTCCTGCGGCATCGTTTCAAGTCGCGCCAACAGCACTTCAGCAAGCTGGTGGAGAAGTATCGCGAGCTGCTGGCCAACAAGGAGGCCCAGAACCAGAATCTGGGCGAGAAGCCACCCGAAACACTGGAGGAGGATGCCAATCGCAAGGTGAGAGATTGCTGGATGGGCCCCAGAAGCAGTAAGTAGTAACCTGTGGGGAATTACAGCTCGTCTGCCAGCTGGAGAACGAGATACATCGCACCAATGTGCAGTGGATGGAGGCGGAGCACATCCGCAAGAAGTACCGCTCCATAGAGGCTTCTCTGATGAACGATGCGGAGCGCTTCGAGCGCAGTCTGCGGGAGTTGGAGGCCTCGCTGAGCGACCAGAAGGCGGAGATCGAGCGGCTCCAGCAAGTGCACAACGAGGCCCTTGAGATGCGGGACGCGGCCAAGGTGGTTCTTACGCGGCAGGAGCAGCAGGCCAATCTCTCTCAGAAGACCCGTGAGCGCCAGGCCCTGGACTTCCGCAAGCAGGTGGAGGCGCGCAAGCTGGAGCTCGAGAGGATCGGGCGCAAGCTGTTCGCCGAAACCAAGACTCTTGTGCACCAGGACAGTGTGGGCTCCACGTCCGGCGATCCGCTTGCGGCCAAGACCGAGAACGGGGACGAGGAGCCAGCCTCCCAGCTGGAGAGTGTGACCAGCGACATGGAGTCGCTGTTCAAGCAGCTCATGGAGGCATCTGGAGCCACATCGCCCCTCGAGGTCTTCGAGCGGTTTAGCGCCCAGAAGGAGTCCGCCGCCCGCCTTAACTATCTGCGCAAGGCGGCCGAGGCCGAGAAGGCCAATCTGGAGTCGGATCGGGAGGCTCTAACCAGCGAGCTAGAAGCCTCCAAGTTCTCGGACGTTAAGGAGAGCGAAGTGTAGGTGGAATTGGGAATATAGAAGAATACATTCACCAATCCCTTGTCCATAGGAACCAGGAGATCATCGAGCAGATCAAGAATAGTATTGCCGCAAAAGAACAGGATCGCAAGCTGGATACCGACGCGGCCGACAAGTCCATGGGGGTGCTGAAGTACCTCAAGGAGCGGATCTGCGAGATGATCTTCAAGGTGCAGGAGGTGGACGAGAGCAACATCGAGCTGCCCGGCCGCAGGCTCCACTTGAGCGTCGCAGAGCTTCCCAACTTCCTCACCCACACCGCCCAGGATGAGGAACTGATTGAGGTACACCGAGAGGCGAGTAGCTCTTGAGCGAAATGTTCAACAGTATCCTCTTCCTCCTCTTAGATACTAAAACTGAAGATCAAACGCTGCCAGGAGCTGAGCAAGTCGGAGGATGTGCCGCCCTTCGAGATGCCCAAGCTGGACATTGGTGAGCAGGAGGAGGAGGAGGAGCTGTACACGACCGAGCCACCAAAGTCCCCATCGGCACCCGAGGGCGAGAAGCCCCAGCCAATGCCCCTTTGCTACTACAATCTTTTTGCCGGTCGCGCCCAACGAGCCGCCGGCACGTCCTCTTCCTCACCAGAGCAGGCTCCCGCTGCGGGTAAGATCTTTGATTTTTGTTTGCTTTTAATTTGTTGGAATCTTTTTGTCCGACAGTTGCCACCACTGACGACGACACCGAAGTGCCCTCCCGGAACTTCCTCAAGCGTCAGTCGGTGCTCATCGTGGACTCGAAGTCCCGCCGGAAACCGTTTAGACCCACGCCAGGCGGAAGACGCAAGTAACTTAAGAATACGATTAAGATTAAGAGTAATATAAGAGAATCATCTGCCAGTTTTAGAAATAATTTTTGAGTAAAAGGTTTAATTTGTATAATCTATTCGTTTGGATATGCCAATTATTAAACCACGATCTCTGGAAGTTCTGAAAGTGGAACCATCGGATATGCGATGAAGTGAGTGTCTATTCAGGGATAAAATTGCAAACCCAAACTGCGAAGAGTGAAAGCTAGATACATCGCCCAGGGACGATTTAATATCTCCTAGATGAATGCTGCCGTTGCCGGCTCCAGTCAAATGACATAACAAATAGCCATCCTCGGAGGATGCATCTACTACTAGCAGGATGCCGTCAACGACAACGAAACGAGTAAACAGAATTTACTGCCCTGAGGCGGAGGACAGCAAATGAAGTGCAAAACGGAACAAAGTGCGGACCGCGGCTGTTGCAAGAGAAATAACCTTTCAAAAATTGTTTACACCAGTGGCAATAGGGCCAGGAGGGAAGAAGGAGCCGGCAGGATGGATGTCCTGGCTTTTCTAGTTAGCAACAATAAAGTGCACCAGCTGACGATGAACAGCCAGAGCCCAGAGCCCAGAACCCAGAGCTAGAGACAGAACCATAGCTGGCAAGGATGCGACAGAGACAAGGCAGCTGTAAACTTCAGTGGCGATGTGCAAACAAAGATGCCCGATGATCCATTGCCATGGCCATGGCCCGTTTGCCGGAAGTGGAGACAGAGACGGCAAGGACATGAACGAGGACGATGACGGAGGCGGGGATCTGTGTTGTGTGTGGTGTGTGTCAACTAAATGTCAACAACGACGACATGAACCACAGCAGACGCATACAAACAACTCGGCAGTGCCACGGAAGATGAGGATGAAAATGAGGACTCTGAAGAGAATGGTACTCCGAATGGTCCACTGAAAGTTCCTCCGGTCGCAAGAAGTCTGAGGTTGAGGCAAGAAAAACAAAAGCAGAGCCGCACGCCTGAGGGCGAGAAAGCATAGGAGGAGAGTGCTGGTTGTGGTAGTGGCATTGGCCATGGCTCTGGCTCTGGCCCTGGTTCTGGCTTCAACTGCAATGAATGAGGCCGACCAAGTCGAGGGCATTGGTTGCACTGCCAGCCGAAGAAGTGCTCTCTGCATTGGAATGCCGCGTCCTGCGGTTGATCCGGCATTGAATGCCTGGCCCCGGCACTCACCACCAAGCGGCTCCATTCACGGCTCTCTGCTCTTTGTCCGTCACTGTCAGCGAACGCACTGGATGGACAATGGGACTATTCCAACGGTTAAATGAATGTTTACGAATCATTCTTTTAAATGGGAAATGAGGGAACAGCAGAAGCCAAGCGATTTCTATGGAAATTTATTAAAAATAGTATGAGTATGGGATTGATGAGGTTCAACTAGGAATGGGACTGAGAATAGCGTTTACACCTTAAATATGTGCATCTGGGAATGACTTTTTGGGGAACTTCCGCTTTCCTACTTGTCCTATTTTTGTGTTGTGCGCCGTATGCAATTCACATAAGCTGGAGCTATATTTGATGTTATTCCATAATTAAAAAGCATTTTCAAAGATAATGTGCATCAGAAGTACAGACTAACCACAGCGCGTCTCTCTCTCTCTCTCTCACTAAAAAAACACGAGTATCATTCATTCATCAGCTTAAAGCAGTCAACCGCCGTCTCTCACCCTCTACGAGTATTAGTTATGGCAACATATATATTGAGTACTGGCTAATACCATCCCTTGCCCTCCTAACCTTGGCTCTGTGGTTGCCTGTTGTTTCTGTTTTTCCCGAGGAGCCCTTTTCGCGTGTGTCTGTTTTCCATTTCCACTCGCTATATCGATGTAAGCCAAAAAGTGCTCTTAAGCCATTTCTAAACTCTAATCCGAGTAATCCCCTCCCCACCAAACACCGCAAGCCCTGAGGGGAAAGGAATCCTCTAATTAAAGGTAAGTGATGGCAGAACCGAAACGGCTTACTGCCGCCAGTCGGCTCCTCTATTGTGTACTCGTACTCGTAATTGGATAGTCACGGGCCGGGCCTTATTCCGCCATTAATTCTTGCCGGGTCCCCACTCACACTCCCGGGGGCTGTGGTTCCGGCCACACCCACTTTTAAGGCAATTAAGCGGTTCAATCTCGCATCAGCCGTAAATCAAACGCCCATCGATTCGCAAGACGCAACTAATTTTAAGCCCATTGACTAAAGAGAGGCGGGGCTTGGTGTGGCGTGTCGTGGCATGGTGCGGTGTGGCGCCTGGCAACCGCAAAACAATAAATTTGAATTTCTGCTGCCGCCGATGAAAAACTTTTTAACTGTGCATCAACCACACAGCGACAACCGAAAGGACATCAGTGTGTGTGTGTGTGTGTGAGTGTGTTCGAGTGTGTGTGTGACAGTCTCGCAAATAAATGAACGGAAACGGAAACGGTATGCGGGGACCAGCCGAGAGTCTCGCTGGGGTATGCGCGGGCTCAGCGAATGATAAATAACGTAATTTCTTTACAACTTTTCATTCAAATTTTCGCAACTTTCGACCGAGCCAGCGCCCGCCCTCAGAGTACCCCTCGTGTTTGCCGGCTTGTTGTTGAGTAAAATAAATTGCGATTCCGTGTAATAAAAGTCAATCATCATAATTCAATGACTCGACGCATTGTTGTGCTCCCTCCGGTGGGGTACAATGCCCCGTGCTCTGTGCTCCCCCTGCCTGCAGCCATCTCCAGGACCGTTTTGCTGCTCTTTGGTCTGGTCTTGAATTTAGACCTCAGCATTTGCTGGATATCTGGCGTTGGCATGGGTGTGGAATATTTGAATTATTCTTTGATTAATTTGAGTTTTGCCTACGGACGATCCCCAGCAGGTTTCAAGCTTATTCAAGTGTACAAACAGCAGACATCTGAGGAAAGGGAGGGACATATATCCACAGATAGTATGAAGACAATCCACTCAGGATCTAAGAATTGTAATAGACGAATAAAATATAGGCAAAGAACGACTCTCACCTTTACGGTTATTGGTTCCATTGGCCAGCAACTAGTTGAAGCTTCAATGGAACTATGATATTTTTGTCACCCCACCCAACCCAAGAGCCAGAGAGGGTTTTATGTGGAGGAGAGGCAGAGATGCTGCTGCTATGGCCATGCTTGCCTCTTCCCCAAGGCAACAGTTTTTGAATGGAAAATTGGAAAAATGTGCTGAGCATAAATCTTGTCTCCGACACTCGCATTCCCTCAAAAAACCCTCCGTTGCGAAGCTGTTTTTGCTGCTTCTCCTGGGGGCTGGCTTATGGCCTTGGAGGAAAGCACTCGTCTGTTTTTCCACAGACAATTGATGATGAAACAATTAATTTTGGTGTATCGATTGCACCAAGCAGAAGATGGTATAAAGCGGTGATGCTCTCAACGAACTTCATATATAGCTATCCATTATAGAGAATGGGGAATTTAATGAGAAATAATTGTCGAAATGCTAAGTTTATTGTGAGTGGGAAACACTTTAGGAAGCTATGTAGCAGACCCTAAAGTTCGGGAAGTGCTTTCCACACTGCCCCAAAGTCTCGTCGAAGTAGGGATGGATGGGGGGACATGTATCCGAGCCCACCGACTGCTGGTCCTGGCAGAGTGTGTAATCCCGACACCCCGTGTCGAGGATGGCCACAAAGCGCGAGCGCAGATTTGCGCAGCGATCGTATGGACAGCTGGTCTCCTCGGGTGAGGCGCAACGCTGGCGCCACCACTGGAAGTGGGTGCCCGGCGGGCAGCTGGCCCATTTCCCTAAAGCGTACGGGGAGCTGCACCTGTAGTAGCCGTGGCAGGTCATGCTATCGGTCAAGAGCTGGACGCCACTTGTTTTTGCCTGATCGTAGAGTCTTGGGCACACGTCAGCATTTGTGGCCGGCGGAATGGCTGGGGTGTCGATCTCGTCATCGCTCTCACATTCGTCTGGGAGTGAGGCCTGGCATTGCCCAGTCTGACGGTTGAAATATCGACGAGAAGAACACTTAAACTTGGTGCTCAATCCATTCTTGCACCTCAGGTAGGACCGGCAGCTGTTTGGATCCGCCAGGAGAGTAGAGTCTTGCATATGGGCGCAAGGGTAGTCTTGCGGACAACCTTGTGTGTCCGCCACACAGGTCTGCAGTTGGTTGCTGAACAGCTGATAGTCGCCGCAGATTCTCTCTACTTCATCATCGGAGTCCGTCTGGCCGCACTTTATGTACCTGGCGCAGTCCGTGGGGTCGGCAGCATATTCTCCCGGCCTCGTTATGGCACAGGCGTCCGTGAGAGTGGTTTGGCAATTGACCTCGCTAGGGAGCTTGCAAGACCCGTCACGGAAGTCATACAGCAGGCCGATCTTGCAGCGGTTACTAGACTCCAATTTGTTGTCCTTGCAGTACCCCCAGGCTTGGCAGTCGTTGGAGTCCCCGATAAACCCCGGACCAGCCCAGTACTGGCACCGCTCCTCCATTGTGAAGCCGCCCGCTGTGACCAGACACATCAGTAGGTATAGCAACCCTTTGGGAACTGCGGAGATTGGTTTTAGGCTCGGCCATCGAAAAATCTGTGAAGATTCTACCCTCATTGGGCTTTCTGTACCTGTCTGTGTGATCGAACGATCCATGCCGGAACTGATACGATTAAAGCTGTAAACCAATAATTTTGTTATCTTCAAGTGTAGCAACGCTGCTACGGAATTCCACTGATAATACCCGAAAAGAGATGTTTCTGTAAAAACTAGAAATGTGCGATTGAATTTCAGGTCTGCTAGACTGATTTGTACTGTGAAACTTGTGTAGATATGATTAAAAAGTCAAAACTGACACGAAAATTCTTCATTCATAGAACTACTTACATATATAAATATTTACATATATTACTTACAGATACAAGGGTGGCGTTTCTTTAACTTTTTCATTGGTGCCACTTTGTTCTTTATACCCAAGATGAAAAATAGTTTTATTATATAAAAAGCGTAACTGGGTGAAATTAGAAGATAATGGAAACATGGCATATCTCACATTGACTACGAAAATACAGCCTGCAGTCGGAAAAGTTCCACTTTAGGAAAAGTCGGCTTTTTATACCCGATACTCAAAATGAGTATTGGGGTTTATTAGATTTGTGGTGAAAGTGGATGTGTTTAACGTCCAGAAGAATCGTTTCCGACCCCATAAAGTATATATATTCTTGATCAGCATCAATAGCCGAGTCGATTGAGCCATGTCTGTCTGTCCGTCTGTCCGACTGTCCGTCCGTCCGTCTGTCCGTCTTTCCGTCCCCTTCAGCGACTAGTGCTCAAAGACTATAAGAGCTAGAGCAACGATGTTTTTGATCCAGACTTCTGTGATATGTCACTGCTAAAAGAATATTTCAAAACTTTGCCCAGCCCACTTCCGCCCCCACAAAGGGCGAAAACTGTGGCATCCACAATTTCGACGATTCGAGAAAACTAAAAATCGTAGAAGATGACTATATGTTCTAGAGTGTAACATCTGAACAAGATCGTATAATTATTATAGCCAGAATCAAGAAAACAATTTCATTCTTTCTCGCTCTGTCTCTCTCTAACACACCGGTTTCATGGTCGGTTTTGCCAATTGCAAAATATGAGTTCAAGGATCTCAGAACCCATAAAAGCTAGAGAAACCAAATTTGGTATCCACACTCCTGTGATATTGGACCTTGACCGTTTTGTGTCAAAATTTCGCCACACCCCCTTCCGGCGTCTGCCGGAGGAGAGCCATACTGACTAAGTATCGCGTATAAATGTAGAGTTGCGGTGTACGCAGCAACTCACAACGTTCCCCCTCGTTTTATTCTGTGATCGCAGTTTCTGGATGTTTCTGTTTATGTTGAATTTTTTTTGTAGTTTTTATGTACGGATTTTGGCAGTAATTTTTTGAGTACTTAGCTACGAACGTATTATCCTATCGATCTTCACGAGTAACCAGCCATATATTGTATATTACTTCTAGATGTATAATAATGGGTACAATCAGGTTATGTTGAATTTAGTTAAATTTTAGCCGTTTCTGCTCGAATTTGTATTCTCAACTAAGCATCCAATATGCGGCACACTCCTGCACAAAGGATGATTCGTGCAGATGCTGCACTTTTGTATCTTTGCCAAAGCGTTTTGTAGACGCAACTTTGTGTGTGTCCGGGCTCCCCGCGCAGCACCACTCCCATGGCCAGGAGCCAGTCAGAGCCGGAGACATCGAGAGACTCCCAATAATGCAGGCAGAAATTTGCTTATCCAAGTACGTATATATGCACATGCATAGAGTATCGGGAAATATGAGATGCATGCATAAAGATATGCCTGTGTGTCTGATTGTGCTTTTCTGTGTCCTTTGCATTGTTCGCGCGATTCCGGCTCGAGAAATCGAGGAGGCAGACAGAAACGGCAACGGCAACGGCGGCGGCGACGGCATGGCATGGCATGACATGGCACGGCACTCAGTGGCTTGTCGCAATGTAAACTGCTTAGGATCGATTGGGTGCACTTATTGACATTTTATGCTTAAGGACATGCTTAATATCCTCAACGTGCGCTTACGCTTTCTCCTACTTGCTGCTACTGCCTTCTCGGGAGTCAACTGTACAATGGGCAGAATATTCATCCTTCCCCCTTCGCTTGATTGGATACTTAACAAGAGAAAACCAATTTCTTTATAATTCTGCCATCATCAAAGATGGATATGTGAAAGCTACTTGAAGTTGATTTAGTTCTGCGACTCAAAATGGGAGCAATCTAGAGACTTTGGCTATTTTTAATTGACCAAAGGACACTCAACGAAGTAAGTATGAATATTCCCAAAACTTTTTTTCCTAATCTCATGTACATATTTTTCTTAGAAAATACCCTCTTTAGCCACTGTGCCTCAAGATGCGTGAAAAGAAGCCTGCTTCGTGGAGCAGAAAAACAGTTGCCATCATCAGATGCTGGGAAAGGAGGCTGATGTCTAGCGGCAGGGACATCTATGTGTGCTCTTAAATGCAAATGGCGTGGACGGGGGGTGGCCACTTTGGCCCCTGGGCTCTTACCACTTCCGGGGCTCAAGGCCGGTCTCAGAGGCGGCGCCGTTACGCTTCCGCTTCCTCCTGCCACACGGCAGTTATGGCGCTCATCACCATCGTGGCCGTCAACGCTATGGAGACCAGCTGGCGGCCACCATGCCATCCAGGCCATCCGGGCAACTACTTGCCCGTAATTTTCTTTTCAATCAGTGGTCCTGGCGGCCGCTGTGTGTCCCGGGGGCCCAGTCTCGTGAGACTGTCTGCGTCTCCGAGTATCTGCCTGGATTCCGTTCCTCCGTCGACTGTCCGTCTAATTGTCCACCCCATCTGGCCCCTCCTTTCCCTACTATTGCTTGTCTCGTTTCCGGTGTTTGCGTGCCGGACTCTTGTACGCCTCCCGTACCGTACTCCTTGTAGTTTTACCCACATGTTCACGGCTTGAATATTTTATGGGCTTAAGTACTTTCAGCTACGGCCTTTGCACGACATGGCACCTTGCACTACGGTCCTGCATGCCGAGGACGCACATAAATTCATTAGATAAGGTTGCTCCTAGCCGCTTCGCCATTGTTTGCCACTTGCCCGGGCAGAACCCCAACCCGGGATCCACTTGTTGAGAGTGGGGGCTCCATTAACATACCTGCAATGATAAGAAACAGCAGGGAGCAGATGTCAGAAGAGGTACATAAGTGGTTCAAATCGAATAACGCCTGAAGATAACGCTTGAAGATAACGCCTCAGGGAGTATCATAGTTGTTTGAATTCTTTTAACATTTTGAGATATTTAACTACTCGGGAGATATTTCACAGCCATTCCCACTGGTCTTGAGGCGCCACTTGGGCCGTTGGCATCATGGAGACATGGCAACGCGAGGACGCAGGTCGGCAAAGTCAGCAGGTCAAGGATTAACACGCTCTCTCCACCTGTCTCATATAACTCATTTTAATTAGATCAAATATGCAAAGAAAACGGAAAAGTGCCGAGCCAGGCAAAACGGAAAAGGCTGCAACGTCTTTGGCCCGAGTATCCTTCGCTGGGCCCCCAAGGAGCTGGTGGATGTGCGATGTTGGGGGCGGCCGGGTTCATAAGCGGCAACGGGCTCAATGAGATGCAAAGGACGATAAACAAGCCCGATGGCGTCGAGGATGCTCCGAGGATGCTGGCGAAATAAGGTTACGAGCTCTCCACTCGTCAGGCCCAAAGTCAGAGACGGAGGCGACGTCGGAGGCGGAAGGATGTTGCCAGAGAGGAAGAAAGAAAGTGCAAAGGCAGCCACCAAGTCATTTTTCTCTTGGCCAAAATGAAATCGCCAAGCAAATGGAGGAGGGAGAGCCAAAGCTGGAGCAGGGCAGGACAGGAAGAATTATGGGAGCTCCGTTTCAAGTTGAATGTTGCGGCCAGGGTTGGTTGTCCGGGGGGTTGTGGTGGTGGCAGAAGCTGCACGTACTTTCGAGTATTTTGGCAAAATTAAAATTTATGAAGAGATAAAAAAGCGTTAATGGGCACTCGCCGAGGTCACAACTGGCCCGGGCGGGTGTTAGTGTGTGTGCTGGCAGTTGCGCCACCATTTGGCGAGTGGCAAATGAAGCAGACTCCACGGCGGAGCCATGGGGCGGCCATCGTCCACCGTCCACGACATTGTGCTCTGGCTGGCCGTAAAAGCTGCATTTTTATTGCAGATCCCTTGCAAAGAGCCCACATTATTGTAGGTGCAGGCTCCGCATTCCAGATGGGAACAACCTCGGGTCAATGTGGCCTGGGGCTGTGGTTGCCGCCGGCACTAGAAAATGTGTACGATGGAGATGGGGATGGGGATGGGCGGCACTTTGCCAGAAGCCACGTGTTGCCTTTGTGCGGCGCCACTTAGGGTAAGAGTCCTCCCCATGAGGTGTCGTAAGACAATGATTGGGCCAGAACAGAGTCGCTCATCCACAGACATCTAATGACTTTTCTTGGAGAATGCATCTTGGAGCTCTACATGTTGTTGGAGCCGTGTAAATGTTGTCATTGCTCTTGAGATTTCCGCTCGTTTCTTGTGATATTCACGGTCTCAGAGTCTCACACTTTGCGCTCTTGAAACAATGTCAAGTCGTTGACAACGTTTTGAGAGCCCCTTTGCACAATGCCGGGGTCCGGGCCGGGACCGAGGACGAGGAAGAACAGGCCCAGAGCCCTACCAGGCTAATGGTATTTGCATGTTGGTGCCACTGTTTGGGGCACTTGCTGCTCCCGGCCACGTCCTCTGCAGCTTTTCTCCAGTCACGCACGTATGCGGGGGTCAGAGGCAGAGGCTGCCCCTTTGGACGGATGCAAATACGCGTGAGTGGCGCCTCGGTCAACTTTGACTGGAATCCGGCCTTGGACAGGGATCTCTGAGATGGGTCTTTGGCGTGGGTTCGGCTGCGTGGGTGGGTGGCTGCTGTTTGTGGCGCCCTAACGACCTTTTAAATGTGCGTCTAATTATGTTTACGTGCTGTCCCGGACGACACCCGAGCCCCAGGAATGGCCCGGGATGACTATATTGCAGATCCAGTGGGGGTGGCAGGGAGCTTTCTGAAATCGTGGGTCTCTCTAGCAAATCCATTTGCTCACAACTTGTTAATAATGCGGGCTTACGGTCATTTTGTGCCCCAACGTGACGAACCCTCGGCCGAAGCATTGTTTTAATTTTTAATTGGATGCGGATTGGGATGTGGAAACGGACCC